GGGAGATAGGAATGGTTTATAATTGGTGAGATGCAGGAAAAGGTCAGAGGCCCATTGTGCTACAACTAATATACTAGACTTCTGATGCTATCGTAATGTTCTGAGTACTAGTATATCCTTATATGATGGCGAAGAAATTTTAAATATGTGATGGTTATCATGTTGTATGCCAAGAATATATTCAAACAAGTTCTAGAAATGAAATTTTTGGGATTAAGAGGAACTATTGAACAATTTATTGACGAATGACCAGTGTCATAAGAAGTATGTGCATATACCACGTAACCAGCTCCTAGAACCAAATCCAGTTTCTATAATTGCCCCCTTGGAATGTTGTTTGTTTGGTTTTTTTCCCCTGAAAGTCACTAGTTTTTCTAAGTTAGTTTTTTAGGGTCCCTTCAGCCTTTAAGTTCTCAGCTCTTGTTAGAGAAGGTAACCCTACCTATGCCTAGAAATATTCCTCACAGTTTGGCTACTAAAATATGAATGGAATTTGGAATTTTTACACTGTTCTAAGGTTTTTGAATTCTAATAACAATAGTAATTTTTTCCTTTTCCAGACCACAAAGTAAATGAAAATTAGTTATCTGTTACTATAAAGTAATCATTTCATAATAAAAAGTATTTTGCCATAAATTAAAAGGCTAAAAATTCAGGAGGTATGTGAAATATAGATAAATCTCAATAATTTGGACTCTCTTAATTTGAAATATGTGGTAATTCAGACAGAGCTAAGCTGAAGTTTACGTTTGTTCTGATAATTGGAGGAAGGTGGATAGGAGAGAAAGGATGTAATAAGTAAATCAACAGGGTGATAAAATTTCAAGGAAAGTACCCCTATGGAAGAAGAGCTTAAACTATGAGTCAAGATAGATGAATTATAGCTTTGGCTCTATTTACTAACTAAATAACTTTGGGAAGTCACTAAACCTCTTTGGGCTTCAGTGTCCTCATCTGTGAATTGATGGGTTGGACTAAATGATCTATGAGACACTTTCCAGCTCTAAAATTCTATGATTTTGTTTAGCTGACTTTTTTTTCTTTAGAACTCATATATATCAGTTAACATGCTAAGATTATGCTTTTCTATTTATTAAAGAAGTCCCCAGTGACCTCACTTTGCCAACAGCCTACTGAGTTACAGTGTTTACTTGAAAATAATATAATTTTCTTACAGTTACACATTTTGAAAATATTTTGTACTTTATATTTCAGTACATTTCAGGTTGGTCTTTCCACTCAATTAGTCCAAATTAGTGAAGCTTTTGTGTATCATTAGGTAACCTTATTCTAGTAATTTGTTCATTCATGTTCAAAGGGAAAATAGATAATGCATCAATTATTATTAAGTCCTATCAAGAGAGATGTCATTATGTAGAGTATTGCTTTCTTCCCCAAAACTTAATTTTTGTAAAAAAAAGAATTTACCTTTATGTTTCAAAAAACATACTATTTTTAGTTGCCTTGAGGCTACAGATATATATATATATATATATATATATATATATATATATATATATATATATATACATATATGTATATATATATATATATATATATATACATATATGTATATATCTTTAAAGTCTGATACAAGGAGATTTTTCTTCTTTTTATGTTATTGAAATTTTTGGCAGGGATTTACACTATGCTCTAAAAGCTGTAGAAGGCTTTAGGGCTCAGCTGAGACAGACTTACCTCCTGCATCCTAAGTAATGTGATGAGACCCAAACTTAATTTTCTTTGGGAAAAAGAGACATAGAGAATTACCAAGAGTAATAGAAGAAATCTTGACCAAATTGTCATAAAGGTGAGGATTGACTATAACATCTACAGAATATATTTGCAGTCAATTTTTGTAATTAACTTGTCCACAAATTAACTGGATTAACTTCCCTAGGACAACGCACTCAAACTTGTTTGTACTAATTTTCGACCTTGGGAAGTAGCTCCCCATTTCCAAGAACCCCTGATTTTCTCCAAAGGTCCATTGAGGACAGCGGGTTTTACTGATGTCCTTGCAGTTCGGAAGCTTCCCTTCCTCCATAGCTGGCTGGCTACCTGAGTCCTCGAGGTCCTGGAGTACATAGATGGCCAAAATCTGTCTACATTTTGAAAAGAAATGACTTTTCTGCTGGAAAGAGTCAACAGTCTTACAAAACTATAGACATAGACATTAAATAAAGTGAGTTCTCTGTGAAACAAAGCAAACCATTGTATGGCTTCTTTTCTCCTCTTCTAAACATTGTCCTTTTTCCTCAGTCTTCACTGTGTTTTCAGCCAGATCATTTACTTTAATTTCTAACATTTTCCAAATTGTAATTTGTTTCCCCAAATTTTTTTCTACTTTTCTTCTTCTTTGTCTTCAACATGTTTTAAAGACCTAAAATAGTATATTTATTTTTTAAAAATAAGGATATACTAAATTCTCATTACATATTTTTAGCTAAATTTAACATTTCAATATAGTCGATTAATTCTGAAATAAGGAAGGCATCTGTTCTTATTCTTACCCTTTGTCCCCAGTCTCTTTCCTCCCTATTCTATTTCCTTCAAATCTTATTCCTTTTCTACTTCCTCTTCCTTTCCTTATTTTACCACATTAAAATGTTGTAAATGTGACTTTTTAATCCTTAATCCTCTTTTCTTTTCCCAATCATTTATTTCAGCAAAAAAGAAAAGAATGACCTGCATGGTCTATATTTTAACATGGTTAACATTCCCTTCTCCTTCCTCACTGACTTTTTTTTTTAGTGCAGGAGGGTAATAGAAAATATCTAAGGAAAAGACGAGAGATGCCCATGCTTTTAGGGCTAATCCCATAAAAGAAGCTTTTGGAAATAATGGAAAATATTGGAAAGAACACTGTGTTAGTAGTCAGGACCCTTGAGTTTTTAGACTGGTGTAGTTAGTTCTGGGTACCACATTTTAAAGGAGAGCCATAAACAAGTTGCACTGTCCAAAAGTGGTTGACACTAAAATTGTGAATCCTTCCTAGGATTGATTAAAAGAATTTTGGTGTTCGTTAGCCTACAGAAGACTTAGAAGGAACATGAACTTTGTCTTCAGTTAATTGAAAGGTTCTCTTGCAGAACAAAGATTAATCTTATTCTGTTTGGTCCCAGAAGGCCTGTTATGCAAAGGAAAGTTTACTAGGCTAAGTATTAAAGGACTAGAGCTTCAATCCTGCCTCTGCCACTTATGCCTGTGTTACCTCAGTAACTCACTTCACTTCTCTTGTCTCTGTTTCTTTATCTATAATATGAGGGACTTGAACTAGATGACCTCTAAGATCTCTTCCATATCTAAATCTATAACCTAACAGAAGTAGCTACAAGAATACAGATTTTAGCTCAGTATGAAAAGGATGCGTTAGAAAGCAATGAGTTCATGACACTGAAAGTGTTCAACAGAGGCTAGATTACCATTTTTCAGCAATACTATCATAGAGGACATTCATGCTTCAGATAAGGGGATGGATTAAGTGAATTCTGAGGTTCCTTCTAATTGCCAGCTATGTGACCTTAGGCAAGTCACTTTTCTGAATCTTGATTTCCCTCATCTAAAAGATAAAAGTTGGGCTAAATGATTTATAAGGACTCTTCTTCTAATTCTTTTGATTTTATATCTGTGAATTCCCTGAAACCTATTGTGAGCATACAATATTTCAAAGTGTAAATAAATACAGAGTAGGAATAGTAGGGTGCAACAAGTTACGTATATAAAAATAAAGAAGTGGAAATAAAAATCTCTAGAAAAGATATCTTAATTCAGTTCTGTGAAATTTCAATGGTGATAAAACCTTGTACTTGTTACACTATCCCAATATCCAGATAGTTATGGAAAATGTGCACATAAACTAGAACAATCCTGAATACAGTGCCCTTGATGTACAGAAAGTGGCATTTTAGGTCATTAGAGAAGAGCTTGGAGATTCTGCTGAGGACAATAAGCACCATGGTTTATTCTCTCTGAATTTGGAAAGGAGACTGCAGTGTTACAGAGAAGATTGATGATAATCATTTTTAAAATTTTTCCAACAGATCTTCTTTTACCTTAAAACCTCTATTCTATGTAGCATTTTAAAAAATTAGAAGTGATTTCTTTAGCTCATTTTAATTCAACTTTATAGAGTCAAAATATCACAATGACAATATCATTTAGAGTAACAATTCATGCACCCTTGGTTGACTTGCTTTTCTTTATAATAATAGCAGGTGTACCTTTCATTCATTTAATCCATAAATTCAACACTGCAAAAGGTATTTATAACACTGATGTTTTTTGAATCATAAAATACTTATTATAAAGTTTTTCTAATTCTCTATCTAACTGAAAATTAGTTATGCCTGACCAGTGTCTGGCTGGTGGGATAGAGCACTAGACCTAGAATCAGAAAGACCTGAGTACACATCCGGTCTCAGGATACTTACTAGCTGTTAGACCTGGGCAGGTCACTTATCCTCTGTTTGCCTCCATTTCTTTAAATGTAAAATGGGGATTATAATAGTACTTCCCTTTAAGGGTTGTTGTGAGGATCAAATGAGATAATATTTGTAAAAAGTGCTCAGCACACTGCCTGGCACGTAATAGGTGCTATGTAAATACTTATTTCCTTTCCTTTTGATAAATTAGTGGATGCCATTGTGTTAAATAAGATGAGATTCTGATACTATTGCTTTAAATTAGCATTATTTACAAAGAAGGCTGTATTCAGGCACTGGTCATGCTATGAAACCCAGGGCTGTACCAAGGGATGACAAGGAAGCACAACCCTACTTTGCTATAAAGGTAGCCCAACAGCTCATGTTTTCCATTCAAGAATACCTTTTCTGAAGAGTGAAACTCAATGAAAATCCCCTGTAGGTTCTTCCACATTCTGTGGAAATGCCTACATCAGAAATGCCATTAGTGTTGCTGTCTCCCAATCTACCTGAGAATGAGTTTTTCTCCTTGAGCTAGAGTGGAAATTTCTTGAGAGCAGGAATCATTTCACTTACATTTTTTGTGTCTTCAGTGCCTTGCACGTAATAGGTGGTTAATAAATGTTTGTTGTTGGATTTGGAGTGCTAGCACCTGTAGACACACAAAGAAATCAGGAACACCACTTCAATTCTGCAAATAAAAAACTTATCATATGGGGATTTTCATTTTACAAACCATGGTTCTCTTGTATAATTTAACCTGATCATAGGGAAGGAGAACAGATATCCTTTCTCTTCTAAGACTAGTTTATAGAAAATGATGCTCAGCTTTTAAGATTTTCATTGGGACCTCAGTTTCTTCAGTCTGAGTTCCAGAAAGTTAAAATAATCATTTCAAGTACAACACTGTCATAATATTTGAATGAAATAAAATCAACATGCTTGTAGGTTTTGAATTTTTAAAAGGAGAGGTCTGGACTACTTATGATCTCTAGCTATAACTCTAACAATGTTCTACCTATGTGTTAAGATACGATACCTAACTTCTTTCTGTCTCTCACACAGAATCTAAGAGTTGAAAGGGACCTCAAAAGCAATGTAGTAGAATCTGTTCCTGACCAAGAATCTTCTCTACAATATATGTGACATGTGGTCATCCTGCTTGAAGATCTTCAGCAAGGGGGTACCCAATATCCATTCCACTTTTGGATAGCTCTGGTCATTCGAAAGTTTGTCCTTACATGAAACCTAACTCTGCCTCTCTGAGCAAGCAAAACAAGTCGAACCCATTTCCATGTGACAGTCGTTGAAAATAGTTGTCATATATCTGTCCTTCATCCTCTGCCCCAATTCTTCAGTCTAATAATACCATTTCTTTTCAACTGTCCTCATATGGCATAGTACCTAGGGCCCAGTGTCTATCCTGATTGCCCTCCTTTGGGTACACTGTAGTTTGTCAGTGCCCTTTCTAAAAATTGTGGTACCTGGAACTGACTAGAACACTCCAGATGTGGTCTAACTGTAGGACAATATAAAGGAACAACTACCGCCTCATTTTGGACACCATACTTCTTAATGCAACCTAAGAGAGTAATAGCTTTTTTTGTCTACCCTATCTCACTCTGACACATATAATAACAACAACAATAAGCGGGTACATAGTGCTGTAAGGTTTGTAAGGTTTGTAAAATGTAATCATTTTACATAAATTATTTCATTTAATACAACAACCATAGGAGGTATTTCAGTTTTATAGATGGGCAAACTAAGGCTACAAGTAAGTTACTGACAATGTCACACGCTTCGTAAGTGGGAGGAAGGTTTCAACTTCCAGTCTTCCTAACTTAAAGGCCAACATTCTATCCACAGTGCCACTTTCAATCCACTGAAACCCCTAGAGTCTAGGGCCTAGATAGGGCTGGGGAACCTGCGGCCTCAAGGCCACATGTGGCCATCTAGGTCCTCAAGTGTGACCCTTTGACTGAACCCAAACATCACAGAACAGATCCCCTTAATAAAAGGATTTGTTCTGTAAAACTTGGACTCAGTCAGAAGGCCACGTGTGGCCTCAAGGCCTCAGGTTCCCCACCCCTGGCCTAGACAAACTGCCATCTAGTCATGCCTCTCCCATCTTATACTTGTGAAGTAGACCTCTTGAACTTGTATAAAATTTAACATTTTTCCCTATTACATTTAATCTTATCAACACATTTATTAGGGACCTACTATGCGTCAGGGGCTGTGCTAGGTTCTGGGGATGCAAATACAAGAGTGAGACAATTTACATTCTGCTAGAGGCATATAGCATGTTTACATATAATCTCAAATATACCACAGGATAGATATAAAACAAATACATAGTGATTTGGGTAGGGGCACTAACAACTAGGGAAATCAAGAAAAACCTCTGAAAGCTGGCATTTGAACTGCGCCCTGAGGGGAGCTAGAAGTTGTAAGATGTGGAGGTAAGGAGGAAGAGTTTTCAAGGCATGGGAAACAACCTGTGTAGAGATTTGGAGGTGGGGAAAGGAAGGCTCTGTTAGATTTGGCCCGACATTCTAGGCTTTCAAGATCTTCTGGATCCTGACTCACAGAAGAGGCTAATTAGCCCTGCTATGTTTATGTTACCTAGAAATTCAATATCCATACCATCTATGCCTTTGGTAAAAATGTTCAGTAGCACAGGGAAAAGTAATTATCACTGTATTAAAGACTGTCTTCCAAACTGACGTTGAAGTATTAATGAGCCTGGACATTCAATTGCTTTTTCATCTACCTAACTAACTTTTTGTCTAGTCCACTTCTCCTCTATCTCATCAACAAGAGTTGCAAGAAATACTTTATTGAGTGTTTTGCTAAAATCTAGGTACTGTAGGTGCAGCTAGGAACACTTACTAGCTGTGTGATCCTGGGCAAGTCACTTAACTACATTGCCTAGTCAAAAAAAAAAATCTAGGTACTGTAAACTTGAACTATACCATTTCCAACCCACTATTTTAAACTGTCAAAAAGAAAATATTAGTCTGGGATGTCTTTGATGTAGCCAGACTAACTCTTTGTGATCACTACTTCTATTTATCTCTCTAATCATAATTTTAGAATTTTGTCAGGAATTGACATCACACTTACATTTCTTTATTTTTTTTATTGGGACATCTTTCCTTTCAAGTGGCTCTTCTGTGCTCCACTATTTTTCTTTTTAAAAATTTTGATACTTTTTGTTACACCCCCTTCATTTCCAAATATGTCCTATTCTCTTCCACTCATGGAGCTATCACTTGCAACAAAGGTTTCCCCAAAAGAGAGTGAAAGAAAACAGTTCAATAAAATCTACAAACATGTTAACAATCACTGACAATAGTACAGTATTTCACTCCCAAAGGGCCCCACATCTACAAGGAAGAGAAAGAAATACATCCCAAACATTTCTTTGGGGTTAAGTTCAAGCATTACAATTATGCAGTAGTTTCACTCAGAGGCCGTTGACAGTGATTCAGCAATAATATTTGATGTAATTTATTTCAGTTCAAGCATTTATTAAGTACCTACTGTGTAGCCAGCAACATACTAGGTGCTGGAGATACAAAGACAAAAATCAAACCCTTACCCTCCAGGAACTGGAATACTACTGAGGAGAAATCACATGCACGCCAATAAGTGAACATAAAAAAATACACAAAGGAAATACAGTGTAATTTTAGTAAGGAAGAGCATGAACAGCTAGGGGACCACTGAGTGACTACAAAATAGGATGCATGAAGAGGAAGTAATGTGACTGGTAACTAGTTTGTTAGCTATTCCTTTTAGCTTTGTGTCATGTGCAGATTTAATGAGCTTGTCATCTATACCTTTATCAGAGGTTTTGATAAAAATATTAACACAGGGTCAGGCTCTCTGGGTTATTTCACTGAAGACCTCCTGCCAAGTTGGTATTGTACTATTAACAACTATTCTTTGAATCTGGCCATCCAGCCAGTTAAGAATCCATCTGATTGTATTATTATCTAATGCAGTGGTATCAAACTCAAATTGAAATGGATCCCTTGTGAGCTGTATATTGGCTTAGAAAACCATAAATTAGTATTTCCTATATTGTATTCTTATTTATCTTGTTAAATATTTCTTAATTACCTTTTAATCTGATTCCACTGCATTGGGGAGTGCTGTGGGCATTGGCCCACATGTTTTGATGCCTCTGATTTAATCCTTATCTCCATAAAAATAGCTTCATCAAAAGCTTTGCTAAAACCCAGGCACATTATATCCACAAATATTCTATTCACATACTAGTGTAGTAATTCTAGTAATTTAATTCTGTAAAAAAGAAAAATGAGGTTAGTGTAACATGACTTGATGAAGCTATGATGGCTCTTTGTAATCACTGCTTACCTTTCTAGATGTTCATCAGCCATCTCTTTAATGATCCATTCTAGAATTTCCCCAGGAATTAGAGTTAAGCTATTGGACCAATAGCTTGCCAACTCTATTCTCTTCATTTTTTGACAGTTGAGACAACATCCTGATCATCATCCCATCCACCCTCCTTATCTGTCTCTTTAGAAAGTTCCCTCAATCATGGTCATAATTATTATTTTGTCTTCAGAATTTCATCATTCAGAGCTTCCTTCCTTGGAAGGAAGACTAACTTCTTTGGAATAATTTGAGTTTGTTAAGTTCCTATCAATTACTTCTCTGAACTCTTTGAAAGTTGCCTTCCTAAAATATAGGATATGTGTCATCTATTTACTCTATCACAAACTCCTCTAAAACTTCTCCCCCAAGATTCTCATCATTTCTACTTTTGTTAATCAGTTCCTCCTTGTTAATGTAAATCAGGCATAGAATTACAATTCCCTCATTGCTTCCTTCAACTTTTGAAGGATAAAATTTTCATTAAGAAAAAGCAAGAAATAATTAGCTGTTCTTCTTTGGACAGAGACTTCTAGTTAATGTTAGACAATTAAAGTCCTCTGTCACTATTTTGTCATGCCTCCATGTGAGGCTTTTTTCTCCTCATTTCATCTTTTTACTCTTTCTGTCTAGATGGTCTGTAGTCCAGTGAGAATGTTTGCTTTTGTTTTTGCCTCCATTATCTTGATGAGATGCTCCCCACAATTCTGGTTTCTGGATTTCTTCATGAATGGGCCTGTTTAATATACAATGCTACTTGCTCCCTTCTCCTATCCTGTTTCCTTTGAATAAGTTAAGCCTTTCCAAAGTCATAAGTCATGGATCCCATCCCAACAAGTCTCCATTATACTTCTGAGGTAAAATTTTCCTTGTTGCATTAAGATTTCTATTTCATTTTGTTTACACATTCTTTGTTCATTTGTTTATAAGTATTGGAAAGCATAGGTTTCATCGCTGATTCCTTTCTTAAATTGTCTCCTGAAAACCTCTGAATGTTTCTCCTGCTATCCTTCTACTTATATTGGAGCTATAGTCTAACTGATGTAGGTAACTAATATAGCTAGGCAAGTTTCTCTCTTTTTCCTTCCTTTTCAATTTACAGCCCTTTTCATTATGTTTGCATGACTCTAGGCAAATATATTGTTATCTCGAGGTTGGAACCAAATTGTAGAGAGCTTTAAATGACTCTCTATTAAAACCTAGAGGCAACAAAGAACCACTGTAGATATTTGAGCAGGGAAT